TTTTTTTTTTTTTTTTTATAATTTATGTTATTATTTAATGAAAAAGTGTGGGTGGAAAGGACTAAAATGGAAGAGAATTTAACCCGCCGAGAGTCCCTCCTTGTGGGGGAGTTGGGTGGTGATATAAATTTGACATATAAAATAAATAAATAAATAAAAGTTCCCCCTCTGGTTTTGATCATCACCCCTTCCATATGTAAGGGGTATGATGATCTTGGACTGGAACCACTCTTGTATATCCCTTTGATGTTGTGGGGCTTCCAGTTGTCTTAGAAAGATGAGCCAATATTCAGGGACTTATAAATAAAAGCATGGGGGGGGGTTTAGGTGGCAAACAAAAAGATAATAAGCTTTAAACAACTTAATCAGATGATATTCATCCTTGCCCATTTCCTGGTATGAGAAGGTACACCATAAAGTGAATTGCTGGGCGATCAGATACACAATACCAGTCCGGACATCTTACCTAATTTTGACACCGATATCTGGAGCTGAAGCTCCAAAGTAGCACATGCTCCAGGATTTCATCATCTCTCAGCCACAAGTGTCTTTTATCAGGAAGACTGTGAGAAGATCTCTTTGCATTCTGTCAAAGGTTTCTTAGAGAAAAGGTAGGATACAAATAACAGAGAAACAGAGTACAAACAAGCTTTAAAATAGTGGAGGCTGGGATGGATCCATTGCATGGGAATTATTTGGATGATTGCAATGTATTATGTAGGGGGCTGCATTTAAAGTCTATTCATACATTCAAGCTTGAGCAGAATATAGCACTAAGATTGCCAAAACTCAGGGTTATGAGTGTGTTAAGCCAGTTCTCCAACCTCTCCAGCTCATGTTCCATTTCTAGGCCTAAACTGCTAGTCTGAACTTCGTTGCCAATGTACGACTCAGCTGCCAATCTGGTCAGTGTCCATGCACAAAGTAAGGTAGAAAAATGTCTTATGCCAGCCTGATGGACCTTTAAGTTTGTTATGACTGGGAATCAGGGTATCTGAAAGTGCCTATCCAGATATTAATACATTCTCCAGAAACACTTCTCATTATATCAGTTTTACATTTTGCTGAAGCCATGCTAGCACCCTGGCTACTTAACAGCCTGTAAGGTCTGGAAAACAAAACATAAATTGAAAAGTACAAACCAGGTCAATAAACCCATAATCTAAACACACGTCACTTCAAACCAACAGTGGAATTTTGCATAATTTTGCTAAGTTCAATTCATGCAAACCCAGAGCTTGGAACAAGTCCATCTGTGTAAAAGAAAACCTCATTTTGAGATATAAAAAGAGCTTGCAGTCAATAATTTTCAAAATGGGATAGGGAACAAAAACATCAGTATGAATTATGTAATAAGAAATATCGCTGCTTCAACCAAAAATATTCTCCCATTCTCTCCAATTTTTAATATATTCAGAATGCACATTGCCTCAGCCATTGTTCATTCTGCCCTGGCTGTGAAGCAGTGGAAGACGGGCTGACCTAATTAAAGCCCCTCCCAGCCCATTTCTTTCTAAGAGGCAAGATTTAAACATAAAATTGTCCCCCTGGGGCTGGGCTGGCATTTTTCCAGCAGAGAGCTGTTTTAAAAGAGTGCCTGCATTTTAAGAGTTCTTGTCTGCACTCACTAGAATATACAATTGCTGCTTCCCACATCTCTTAGTTCATTCTCTTACCATTAACATGAAACCATCATGGTGGCTTATTTTTCCTTGAAAAACAGTGCATACTTTAGGGGCATTCTTTGTATTCACAAAAATAATCTCTCCCTCTCCACAATTGTGCAGAAAAAGCAATGAAACCTGAAGTCTTTTCACAAGTGCTTGCTCCCATCAAAAAGCTGTCTGAAATGCCAGGCCTCTGTAGCAATGCTGTAGGAGTCCAGATGAGATTCTAGATGGCAACAAAAACATACCAAAAAATGTTTTTTTCCCTATCATCTAATGGTTATCTGAATTTTTGCAGCTTAGATATGGTAGGCCTAATCTATAAAAATTAGCATTTTTCTTCCTGTCTTCTTTCTTTGTCTGGCTGTTCTTTTTTTTTTTTTTTTGCTGGCCACTAGTGTCCCAGAAAGGTTTTGCCCAATGGTAGATAAATTCACCCAGGCATGTTTTGCAAGTTTTATTAATCAACAGCTCCATTATATGAATGTTGCACAGATATATCATGTGAAATGCATTCAAAGATATCCTTGTCATGATTACACTCACAGGCAACAATTTTTTGGTGGGCAAAAAAGGAACAAGACCCCCCTTTTTCCTTGTTTCAGGATATGGCTTTCTTACTTTTAGCAAGAAGGCATTTCATGTCTGCAGAAACCACCCCAGGAATTTTCATAAAGTGCTTCCACTTTAAATAGGCTGAAGTACTTTCACAAGAGTAAATTTCACACAGGAATACCCAGCCTGCTGCTTCAAATGGCAGGCTGGAGTGCTAACAACAAATAGCTTCCCAACAAATAGGTTGGTTGGGAACTAGAATGCTTCTTCAGGCAGCTGTTTGAAACTACAAATATGAAAGAACAGTTTGTCATAATTTTGTTTCAGATATTCTCTGGAACATGGATGTAAATTTAATACCTTTATAATGAGGATCTAGTTTTCCTACAAGCTTGGCAGTGGAATTCCTAATTAGTTTATTTTTTACTTTTTTTTAGGGTCTTCCTAATTTATTTTAATTAACTTATTGAAAGAAACCAATAAAACAACTCAAAAAAGAGATGTTCAACAAACTTAATAAGATTATTAGAGTACACATTTGATTCTATAGTCCTAAGGAATGTTATCCTTAATAAAATTCATCAAAGAATATTAAGTATCATGAACACCTTTGGGGTCTGTGTACTTTACTACATTCTTGTTAATTACGCTGCTGGTACCCGGCAGTGCTGGAAATCAGACTCTTCCCTATCACTTGACATACGGTTCATGAAGGATATTACATGGTTGTGGAAAAATTAACATGTAAAATAAGAATGTGGAATTCCTAATTAGGAATACTAGAATGAAATACAAATTTTACTAATTATTCCCCCACAATTTCTTAGGGCATGCCACACCAAAAGAAAGAGAGAGAGAGAGAGAGAGAGAGAGAGAGAGAGAGAGCGCGAGCGCATCTGGCTTGCTATC